TCTACTTGCTTATTAGACTAGAATCCTAGGCCAGAATTATGCTCTCTTGTAGTTCTGTTTTTTGAAGTTTCAGATTAACTATGAGAATTGTAGCATAATGATAATGCAATATTAATATGTTCATTGCAGGTAACCTTTTCTGAGTAGTTAGATATGTTTTAATGCATTACTTCATTTAATCCTTGTACAGTGCCTTATAGTAGACATTGTTACTATATTCATTTCATACTATATTCATTTTCATACAATATTCATTTTCATTTCATGAAAAAATGAGGCTGAGAGTTTCAGAAACTTTACTACTTGAGCCAGTTAATGGCCTAAAAATTCCCTCAGCCACTTTACATACATGAATGGGGGCTAAATTTGACATTTTGTGTCATCTGAGAAACATCAAGTTACTAGTGAAGGGGTCCATTTGGTTCTGCCTTAAATGTTTCCTGAAACCACATTTTCCTATCTGCTATGTATTTAAAAGTGTTTGTTGTTTTCAGGAGTCCTTGCCTTGACAGTAAAATTCCAATTCATCTTTTTCTATAACCTTTATATTTAACCTCGTTCTCCCTTGTTAGAGTAAAAAAAAAAAAAAGATAAAAAACAAAACCAAAAAATACCCAATACAGCTTTTTTTCCTCTTCCTATGTAACTAGGGCAGTACAATTTTTGTTTTTGTCTTACAAAAACATATCGGTGAAATGACCCCCTCAAATACTGCGTGTTTCTCATAACCTTAGCTGCTTCTGATAATCACTGCCTACATATTTCATTAGAGGTTACAAAATTATGACATTTCTAATTCTGTCCTAGCTTCTTTAAAGTAAACAAAACAAAACCTGATCAACTGCTTGGTTAAGCTGAGGTGCAGTTCATGTAGGAAAGGAGAGAGATTTATTTATTTTCCCATGTATTAACCAGTTTTCAAAATAATTCACTGACTCCCTAATATCCCCCACAGATCAGGACTCTTCTTGAATTGTGGTTATCATTATAAACTCACGGATCTAAACTTTTTGATGTGGTTCAATGAGTGACGCTTCTTTTGCTTAGTCATCTTCCTTGTCCTGTCTCTGATCAGTTGAAGCTTCCTCAGGTAACCTTCTGGGTTCTGTTAATACAAACCTAGTGGCTTTTAATGGTTTCCTTTGCTTCTAGTATAACAGGATACTCCTGTGCCATTCAATACTCTTTATGATCCACACTTGGAATCAGCCACTACTACAAGAACTTACAGTTCCTTTCAGTGGTAAATAGCATGTAGAGATCAAAGTTGGGCACTTCATGTGCTGTGGAGACTATAGGCTTCTTCAACAAATAATTGAGAAATGAGAAGAGTGGCAAGAGAGAGGAATGGAATCTGTAAGTTAAAAGAGACCTAGGAGACTGGAGACCACACCAGCAACAAAACTGTGGCACAAGAGGGCAAACAGAAAAAACTGTAAAATATCTGATGATGTTAAGCAATTATTATTAATTTTTAAAAAAAATTTAGTGGAGCTGAGGATGCAGTTTGGTGATACAGTACTTGCCTAATATGCGTGAGGCCCTTGTTTCAATCCCCAGCACCATCAAAAATAAATAGATAAATAAAATTTAATTTCATAATTAGTATTATTGTCATAATTTTAAAAGACTCATTTAAAAAATGTATGTATTGATATGACCTTTGGATTTCAATGAAGCCATCATGAGATGGATGAATAAGTGGGGGTTTAGATGAAATAAAATCAGTCATCAGTTCATTATACTTTTCTTTTCTTTTGGGTATTGCAAATTTTCCACAACAAATAGTTGAAAAACTACTTTTGACACAGCTGGTTCCACATAATATTTAAAAACTATTTTTTATTATTTCCTGTATAAATTTGTGCTTGGGAGATATTAGAGGTGTTTGATTAATAAGAGTTTGGAGAAGTACTGATTACTGATTAGGCAGAAAGACTACAGTATCAAGGACATTCAAACCTGATTTTAATAAAAGCTAATGTTAGAAAAACAGTTAAACCTATGATCACACTAATCACTGAACGTTTTAAAGGCTGTTCTTAAGAAAGAAGAGATAAAGAAGAAATGTTCAAAAACTCAGTTAGTGGAAAGTTAATATAATAACCTAATCAAGATATCTACTTATCCTTGTGAGTCA